CTCGTTGTGTATAGACCCCTTATTAATCCGATTTGCACTATGTAGGGCCAAAGTGGAAGCACACCCTATGATAGGGAGTTTCTCTTTTTCGGGAGCTAAACTCAATATTTCTGGACCGGTTAAGGGTGCATCAGTATATATGGATCGGGTTGGTTCGACTTTTATTAAAACCAAAATAAACCAACAATATCGGTTTGGGTTGGTTATGTTTTCCGGATTATTTTGAATTTTTTTGTTACGTGAATATTATTCCAATCTTGCTTTGTTAAAGTTATAGATAAAGTTTGATAAATGAATATATGTTTAATAAAAATTGAAAAAAACTGACAAACATATGATCTATTAATATATTCTTATGGAAAAATATTTTTAGTAACATATGATAGTTTTTTCTTAGTCATCTAACAATAATTTTTTTGTTGGTGTGTGCTTAAAAGGTCAAACGAATTGAATAACTAAACATAAAAATTAATATGAAACCTAAATAATAATTATTTAATTTTAAAATTACAGAAATATCATTTCAAATTCGAAAAAGATATAAGAATTTAATAGATCTTGACATATGAATATGAAAGAACAAAGAGATTGATGCATTTTAATAACACTTGATAAGAAAGTGATGATATAACCTATTATTTAAAGTAAATAAAATGGATGTACTTTATATCTATTAAATATTACATCCCATGTGAGGATCCAAAATATTTCTAGATATTATTTAAAGAAAACTTTATATAAAGTCTTAATATATATATATATATATATATATATATATATATATATATATATATATATATATATATATATATATATATATATATATGTAGGGATAGAGGTAGCGTAGTATTTATGGGTTCAGACAAACCCAGTAGCTTTTTCTTAAATTTTATTTTATATTAAAAAATTCATTGAATATATATGTATAAATATTTTATTGCGAACCCAGTGACTAAACGAGTTATGAGTTCGATGGCAGGTTCAAAACCTATAAACTTTAAATTCTGGCTTCGCCTCTGTTTATATGTCGGTTTGGTTCGAGGTTTTTTACTCAATACCAAACTAAATCAAACCAAACCTAATCGGGGTTTTTAATCGATTTGATTTGACTTTTCAGTTTGGTACGGTTTTCCAATTCGGTTTGAATACCCCTAGGTGAATGAATCTAAGGTTATGCATAATTTGATAAATACCAAATTACCGTATCAAAACCAAAAAATTTAGTATTAGATATTCGATATTTTAGTATTTGGTACGGTATTTGATTTAGGTTCTTTCAAAAAATTGGTATTAAATATGGTATTCGGTATTTTAAAATTAAATACCTAAATACCAATATCGTACCGAAATATATATTAAATTACACAATGCATATATTATTAATTATAACGTAAACATTTAAAGTTCTAAATTTTACTTTTCGTTATTTTTATAGTTTTCTTTAACCTTTACCACTCTTTTTTTCCTCTATACTTACATTTCCCTCTTTTCTTTGATTGCCTACTTATGTTTCAACCTTTCTCCCATATAGATTTAGTATTTTTGGTTTCTATTTTTTTCACTATATTATAATATTTTTATTTTCGTATTGTGAGTACCATAGTTAAGAATATTACAGTCTATGGCTTTATGAACTAGTTAATATTCGAGCCGAACAAACCAAAGTTACCAGACCGAATAAACCAAACCGAAAGGAGAAAAGCGGAACCATACCGAATTTATTTAGGTATGGTATTAGTATAGCATTTTAAGAAACTAAATACCGAAAATACCGAACCAAAATATCTAAATACTGTATAATACCGAACGACGAACACCCTAACATGAATCCCATCTATCCCCATTTTTTGTTTAGTGCTTTGAAAGAGGTAATTACAAGGATAAAACTATCTGGCGTGCAAAATCTAAGTTTTGTTTTGCCTATTAACCCAACTACAAGAGATATAGTAAATAAATGATGACAATTAGCTACAATATTAGAAAGAAAAGAACAAAAGAGCACAACAAAAAATACAAGAGATTTCTCTAACGACGGGCACATGGTTTTGCACTAATGGTATAGAATATTACTAATATAGATCGAGTGAGGAAAAACATATCATAAAGAAAAAGAAAAAAAAAAAGAATTATTTCTCTTCAACATATTTGAAGCCGTCGAAATTTTCAAAAAAAGAACCAGCTTCAAAACTCAGGTACTGCGTTGGAATATCCCTTCCAATATCATTAATTCTTTCAGTATTATTATTAGCCTCTCTATTCCAATTCCACGGCGAAAAGAAGGTATTATCAACTTCAAGAAAAGATAAAAAGTTCGGAGTAGAAGCCAAAGAATTCCACAAATTAGTCAGATCATAGGATTGTCGCAGTAGTAGTAATTCTTGTTGAAGTTGTTGTCGTTGCTGTAAATAACGCAGCAGTTGACAGTTTTCGCATCCACACACTGCTGCAAAATTGTACAAATCAGACATATTATTATCTGCATCAAATTCCACGTTCTCTAATTCTTCAGAATTCAGTTCCGCCATATGTTCAATATTCAATGATGTGTTAGAGTTGTGTTTGTGTATATATAATGATCTTTGGTATTATTTGAATAGGATAGGATTTGACTCGAATTAGTACTCCTAGATAACTAAGAGACTATGTAATTAGCTCCTACTTCTATCTTGCTATGGTTTTTCCGAGTGTTATAATTATAATGTATTTAGGATTTGGAATATTACGCTAAACTCTTATCCACAATTTTACGGTACCATGTCAGAAACTATTTTCTTTTTGTTTAATTATATTATTCTTATTAGTTTCCTTAATTTCTTCTTTTGATTTTGATAAATAAATAAAAAATGGAAAAAGTGATTGCGTACATAAGGATCATGGAAAATCATAATAGTAGGAAAGTGAAAATACACCAGAACTAATCAGTTATCACTTTTAAAAGTATATTTTTTGTTTAAGGAATTATACCTTTATTATTTATAGGAAAATACACGATTAATAAACGTAAATCATAAAACAAGCAATTATATATAACTGTAACCATAAAATAGCTAATAGTCCAGCATAGGCAATTTCATGGTCACTCCTTCCCATCAGAAAAGGGTTGCAACACCATAGTAATAGTTTTTTTAATTTAAATTTTAACTAGATGATAATAGTTCAGTAACATTTGGGTTCAATTTTTACTGTCGCGGATAAACAATATATTTTTCACATGAGTGACATATTCACGCTGATTGGGACGGGTATGTTGCTTATCTATATATAATAAATAGCTGATAATAGCTGAAATGGAAACTGCAGATGGTGAGAGTTTCTATTTTGGTAGATGCTTCAGTATGGGTGTTAGTTACCTAGTTTTGATGTTTCTTGTTTGTTAGTCTTTGAGAAATTGGCTATCTCAGAGAAACATCGATTGGCTAAAATAAACTGTCTTTCATTCCCACCCAAACACAATGCTTTAATTCATTTGTTTTTCTTTATAAGCACCTTCATTAATCCAAAATTACTTCAATAATCACATAATGGCAAAGCCCTAGCAACAAATCAACCACACTTTCTACAAGTAGCAAGATCCAGGTAGTCATCACAAAAGTTGTATTTGCGTATACATAAGATTCCGGAAAAGGGCCAAAACTATCCCTATCGTTTGGTAAATGGTTTATAAATACCTTCCGTCCATCTATCCGTTCAAAAAAACACACGAAGTTAATTGTATTAACAAAAATACCCCCGCGACTAACGGCAGAACTGATGGAGTGTGTTTTTTTGAACGGATAGATGGACGGAGGGTATTTATAAACCATTTAGCAAACGATAGAGAATTTTAATTGGGCCACGTGGCAATCTTTGAATGGAACAAAAAATGGATATTATTTCAACCCATTTACCTTATCCGACCCATTTACAAAAATGGGTAGTATCTATCACACCCATTCTCACTCATCTGATCTCCCCCTTTCTTCTTCTCCAATTGTGACACTGCATACACACAATAACAAATTAATTAAAGAATAGATAAATCTCAAAATCAAATAACCCGGAATTCAAACCAGATTCTGAAATTTCTCCAATCAAACTCAGGATAAGTATTGAAACTCTTAAATGGAAAGTCAACAGATACATTTGGGTTGTTAAGTAAGAAGACAAGGATCAAAACAAACCAAAAAATCTGAAACAAAAAACTGAGCCCAAATGCTAAAATTGTCCAAATATATCAATCAAATCTAGGAGAAATATTGAAACTTTGAAAGGGACAAGTAATGGAAATCTTTGGATTGTTCATAAGAAGACGAAAGAGCCGCGAAATAACAGAGAAAAAACAACTACATATAACTGATACAAGCGCACAAGAAAATTGAAATCAAGGTGCTAAAAAGCTTGAAAAGTGAAAGGGTTACCATATTCTAGGATAAAGATTAAATCCATAAAAGGTAAAAAAAAAAAAAAGTAAAGGGTTACCTTTGGGATGTTCATAAGAAGAAGAGGAGGAGGACAAAGAGCCATGAATTGCAGATGAAGTGAAAGCCAAAGCCATATTTTCAAACACAAAGAAAGATTTGTTTCAACAAAGAAACGCTAAAAATTCTTTGTGAGATGAGAGTGGGTGTGCTGGGTGATAGAAAAAAAAAAGGCAAAGAAAAAGAAAGAAAATAATTAGGCAGGTCAAATAAATAGGGTCGGACCAGGTAAATGGGTAAAAATAAGACCCATATTTGATTCTTGGTCAAAAATCCCTCTCGTTTGCTAAATGGTTTATAAATACCCTCCGTCCATCTATCCGTTCAAAAAAACACACTCCATCAGTTCTGCCGTTAGTCGCAGGGGTATTTTTGTTAATAGAATTAACTTCGTGTATTTTTTTGAACGTATAGATGGACGAAGTGTATTTTTTTGAACGGATAGATGGACGGAGGGTATTTATAAACCATTTATCAAACGATGCTTTAATTCATTTGTTTTTCTTTATAAGCACCTTCATTAATCCAAAATTACTTCAATAATCACATAATGGCAAAGCCCTAGCAACAAATCAACCACACTTTCTACAAGTAGCAAGATCCAGGTAGTCATCACAAAAGTTGTATTTGCGTACACATAAGATTCAGAAACAGCTAGGTTACAAATATCCTTGAGCTAATGGAAAGGTGTTAGCAACAAATTTGCCTTCTCAAATAATAGTCAACCTATCTTTCACACGTTAAATTTCAAAAGAATGACCAATAAAGATATTACAATCCCCAACGATATTGCCTTCAACTTTAGCTTTTGCTTTGCTTTTCTTGGTGGTTTAGAGCCTAGCAAGTGCAACCGCACCTGTAATGACCAACCATTTTTACGAACCACAGCAAGCTGATTTCTGGGCAGCTTGACTACCTCCAGCTCCTGCATCTGGTTGATTAATCTTGAGCGTCGACGGCTGCAATGTCAACTAATGAGTTCAGTATTTGGAAGAAAAAATATATAAAGGATATCTGGTTCTCGTCTTTGTTCCTCTCACTACCCTTCTCTAAATAACTCTTAAGAATTTACCAAACTAGTTAAGTTATTCACCTCAGCCTTGGAGTCTGTGTCTGCTAGCCTTTGCTTTATATCTCTTGCTATTGAGAAGAAAACTTGTTCCACGTTAAGATTTGTCTTTGCACTCTGCAATGAAACAGTAAAACTTAGTACGGGAAAACCTACCAGCATTTCTTTCTAGGTTGTCGAACCATACTTACAGTTTCAAAAAACTTAATCCCATACTCATCTGCAAGTGCTTGGCCCTTTGAAGTAGGAACAGCCTACAAACAGGTTCATTTTGACCAAATATTAGATCTTCATTGAAACACAAACCACCAAACTACTTCTATTTCTATCCACTTCTCTCGTCTTCTTTCCTAATTTGGGGATATTGTTTCTTGTCACCCCTAGGGGTGGGGAGAAAAGGAGCAGGAAACTTTTAGATATAGAATCAGCCCAAACGAGAACCTACCCTCTTGCTTTCATCCATGTCAGCCTTGTTCCCTACAAGTATTTTGTTGACATTGTCTGAGGCATGCTGCTCAATGTTACGAATCCAGTTCCTAATGTCTGCAGATAGGATCAAACAGTTACACCCCCCCCCCCCCCCAAGGGAGGAAAGAGGAAAAAGAAAAGTAAAGAAAGGAAAAAAAGGATAGATATGAGCTAATGCAGCAATTATAAGAGTTTCAAGTTGCAGAAAACAGATCAAGATATGGAATAATGCAGCAGATTCAACAAAGTTGTAAAAGAGGTTAAAGTTCACAGATGAACAACATCTCAGATTATAGGAATATCAGGACAAAGAACCTTACTGTTAAAGGAGGATTCGTCAGTAACATCATACACCAACAATATACCCATGGCTCCACGATAGTAAGCTGGAAAAATTTGTAATCAGAAAAAGAAGCAATAAGTTCACAGGTAAACAAAATGCAGGGATCTAATAAAGAAGATCATATTTGCATTTTAAAAAGAACTTATTGATGAAGATGAGAAATAGGGATAAGGATAAGCATTCACAAGCTTAATTCAACTTTGCAAATAATACGATACAGAAGATCAATTATAATCGACTCTCTTCTTAGGAGGCCAAGAGATAAAGGTCACACGGAAATGTAGAGAAGAAACAAGAGGGGGAGAAAAACATCATAAGACCGAATCCAAAGAAGGTTCAATTAAGTAAACAAAAACGGAGAGAACTTCTCCCAGTTAGGACGACCTTTTATGCCAGAATCCTTTTATAACCTTGATGAAACAACAGGAGAACTTTTATCAAGGAACAACCATAAAAACATACCAGTAGTGATAGTCCGAAACCGTTCCTGACCAGCTGTATCCCATATCTGAAGCTTGATCCTTTTTCCATCAAGCTCAATGGTTCGAATTTTAAAGTCGATTCTGACAAGCATAAAATAGATATAAGAAATAGAAAAGCAACTGTACACGGAAGTGTAACCAGGCACATAATTCTCAGAAGAGTTCTGAAGCAATTACCAAAGAAGTGTAACTATGAGAGAGAACTCACCCAATGGTTGTGATAAAGCTTGTGGTGAAGGAACCATCAGAGAAACGTAAAAGAAGGCAACTCTTACCAACACCTGCAGCGTGCACATCAAAAACAATTGATCATAAAGAAAATCCACTATCGTTTTCTTTAAAGTGATGCAAAGAAATTACAAAACCACCAGGTACAACGAAGAAGATGCAGAATAAGAAGCTCAGAACTTCTGGAGAAAAGGAGACAAAAATAGATCTCACCTAGCTTTAAGAGATACACTAAAGAAAAAGTAAAAAGAACACCATACAAAAGATCCTACCTAATACACCAAAGAAAAGGTAATATGGAAGTTTTCCATCCTACCTAAACTTTAGGCAAAAACAGTCATCATGGTAACCCCCACCTTGCACACCACCGGTGAAGCAGAAAAAATAGAAGTTGTATGGACCAAGGCGAAGAACCTAAAAAGGAGAAAAAGGAACCCCCCCCCCCCCCAACCAAAGGAACAGGGGAAAACATTCATCTACTCCTAATGAGCACAGAACAAGCAGAACATGCAACCAAAAGAGTTTGGCTACAGTATTCTGTCGTTCTTCAGAATCATGTTCACCAACATAAGATCTAAAACTCATATTTAGTGGTTAATTCATGGATGCAATAAAGAAAGCAATATGATAATGTCTGATACTTTTTTCAGAAGATATTTGCTGATAACGCAGATTATATCTGAGCAATTGAGCTAATCAGAATTTGTTGAGATTCTTAGCAAATAGCTAGATTACATCTCCTCGAGCTCAAAGGCCCACATATCAAAGTTGACACATCCAGATGCTGCTGCTGGTCCTATAATTGATCCCAAAACACTATAGCTAGCATTATTAAAATGATAGCAACCAACTTAACCTGACAAGTATAAACAGTGACGAGATAAGCAGACAATGCCACATATTCTCTCCATTAATTATAGAAACAGTAACTGATGCAATCAAACGACAAAAATGTTCTTCCTGCTTTTATTATGCATGCTGCTGACATGCTAAGTATAATCCTCTTCAAAGACATCATTAAGCTGTTTATAGAGTTATTTCACAACTTTGGTGCAAGAGAGACCTGGATAAAGACAAAAGTGAATGCAACCATAAGTAAATTTCCTTGTGGTAATCTAATCCAGTAGCTTCAGTCAATCTGCAGACATTTATATGATGGTAAAAGCTTAAGAGAGAAGCTCGTCCTGAGACTCTTTAAAACATGAACGATCCCTACCATTGCTTGGCAATTCTTGATAACAAGCACAAAAGCAAAACCCACCGAGCAAAACATATCCCTCACTACATCCACAAGAATGAAAGAACCTGATAAAATAGTCAATCAATCAACTACATCCGATTAGTTGGGGTACGCTTAATCCTCTGTATCTACTCCACTCTATTCAATCAATATTCAGAAGATTCATCCTAATGCAACTATATATAACCTGTCCTTCAACCTAGCACAACCCTCCTTCTGGATTTAGGACCTTTATGGAATAAGAAGCTCACACTGATCAGATAATACCAAGTAAGATCATGGCTAATTTTGACACCTAATACATCAACACGTTCCATACAGCAATAATCTATGGTAATCATTACTAGTCCAGTAGATATTCCTATGCGCTCATTAACACTAAAAATGCTACTCCCTGCATCCTGATTTATGTGACGTTGTTTGACTAACGGAGTTTACGAAACAAAATAAAGACTTTTAAAACTTGCTGCATAAAACAAGCCATAGATATCTAGGTGGATATAAATCACGCGTAGATTTGGAAGTACAACGTTAAATAATTTATTATAAATATAAAAAGTATCATTTTTTTCCCCGACATACTAAAAAGGAAAGAGTGTCACATAAATTTGAATGGATTATGTTAAATCCCTAGTCATGTCACATGGACAAATATAACAAGCTTTCTAGCTAATTAACATGCAAAGTCATTAAATGAACCAAATCTAGACACATCAAAAAAATCTGTACACGTCAAAACCAAATCGTAAAAAAAAAAATACATTGTCTGAGCAGAGGCTAGATCCGTACAGAAGTCAACTAACGGATCCTAAAAATGTAGCATAGATCCGAAAATTTTAAAACGACCAAAGCTAATGCTAATATCCAAAAAAATTGAGAACACAAAATTTGTGATCTGCGAAAAAGGATTAGAAAGGAAAATGAGGAAAATGTGTTAGATTACTGACCACTATCGCCGATCAAAAGAAGCTTTATGAGGTAATCATAGTCCGCTCTAGCCCTTGCCGGTGGTGCGGCCATTGAATAATCAATTCGTATATGATATTACACACACACCTCTGAAATCACAGAAAATGATCAAATTAATAACAAAAAAACTCAATTAATAAGCAACAAAAAGCAGATCAAAATCTACAGAATGAATCTAACAAAGAGAGAGAGGAGGGGGGTTACCAATTGGCTATTCTGCGCACTTTGTGCTGCGTGCGCTTAGCAAATTGTTCGAAACGAAGAGAGTGGGGCGGGTGATCACGCGCTTTATATAGAGAATGGAAAATTTTAACGTGGTGCGTTTTGATTGGATATGAGGAAAGGTATATTAAACGACAAGAAATGTGTGCGTTGTATGTTTGAGGCTTTGAGCTGGAATTTGTAAAATGGGGATGGAGTTTTTAAAGGTACAAATCTACAAAGATGTGAGCATTGATTGTAGCAACGAGAGGTACAACTGTTAACATAGTTTAGCAACGATGTAAAGAATAGTCGGTTGCATCGAATACATAACCACCTTCCACATGATTAGCTTTTTAGACTATTGTTTTTAAAGTGGAATATTCTTCTTAAATTACTTGTTCTTTTATCCTTATTTCCTTTTTCGGGTGTTCGATAAAGTTATGTTCATGTGACCTATAGGTTACGGGTTCGAATCGTAGAATCAACCATTAATGCTTACATTAGAGTAGGTTGTCTATATCACGCTCCTTGGGATATGATCCTTCCCTGAATTTGCGTAAATACGAGATGCTTTGTGAACAGGGCTGGCCTTTTTTTCTCGGTGTTCGGTATCTTAATTGTGGTTTGAATAATTTAATTCGCGTCGCACAATACTCATTAAATAGGAAAGTGTTTCTTATTATTTTTTTATTCTTAGTGTTCGAACCTGAAACTTCTAGTTGGTAACCCCCCCCCCCCATCTCTTTGTTAAATGGCCATTTACGCAAATTAAAACGTGAACTCAAGATATCGGCTATATATAGCAGCTCATTCTCTCAGATTTTCCATACAAAATTCTGAATTCTCCTCCTTTCTTCTGCATTGTTTTAACTGCAAAGAAAGCAACAGTAAGTGTGATTTGCTACCGATCATTGTGTTCGCTGAAACATTGGGGTTTGAAGTACCGCTACACCAGTGTGTAATCCGTTCTATCCTGGGAGGAAATAATCCACAACCTCGGATACTAGGAGGGGATTAGGTTCTTTAAGGAAACATTGTGAAATCAGTAGGCTCGGATTAAATTTTGTTTCTTTTACATTTCTGTTTATACGTTATTTTTTCTTCTCCAGAATTATTTTACAAATACAGTATACTAACAAGCTTAAGGAACTTAACAATTTTCTATATTTGTGTTATACTCACTGTTTCGGAGACTAAAACCTTTGTGATTTCTCCCGTTTTGGAGATTAAAATCCTAGCAATTTTCTACTTCATTGGAGATTAATATTTACGTGATTTTCTACTCCAGTTTTATTCGGTTTGAAGATATAAAAACTTCGTCGTTTATTAAACGTTTGTTTGTGTCATTCTTATACAGAAATGACGAATGAGAATGAAGACCAGATTGTTCCTATGGTGACTTCCAATGCATCGACAAGCCGAACAACACCGTCATTGGCACCGGCACCGGTAGAAAAATCCGAAAAAAATTTCAAGATTGATTTCAAGCGGTGGCAGCAAAAGATGTTCTTCTACTTAACGACTTTAAGTCTACAGAAGTTCATTAAGGAAGATGTTCCTGATCTGCCCGACGAAACCCCAGACAATGAACGCTTTCTCATGATTGAGGCGCGGAAGCATTCTGATTTTCTCTGCAAGAATTACATTCTTAGCAGACCGAAGGACGATCTATTTAACGTCTACAGTAATGTGGAGACGTCAAAAGAACTGTGGATTGCGCTTGAAAGGAAATACAAAACTGAAGATGCCGGGTTGAAGAAATTTGTTGCCGCTAAATTTTTGGACTACAAAATAGTAGATAGCAAGTCTGTTATTACCCAAGTCCAGGAATTGCAAGTGATTATTCACGATCTCCTTGCTGAAGGTATAAGTCGAATTAATACTGATGTTGAAAGTATAAATTATATTATTATTACTAACAGAATTTTCATTGAAGGTCTTGTCATCAATGAAGCATTCCAAGCTGCAGCGATGATTGAGAAGTTGCCTCCTTTGTGGAAGGACTTCAAAAACTACTTGAAACACAAACTCAAGGAGATGTCGCATGAAGATCTTATTGTCTGGTTGAGAATCGAAGAAGACAACAAAGCTGCTGAAAAGAAAGATCGTGGAAACTCAACAATAATGGGAGCAAACATTGTTAAGGATGCTCCTCAAAATAATAGAAAGAGGAAAAATGCTTTTGGATCAAAAGCAACCCAAGCAAGAAGCAGTTCAAAGGAAATTGCTACAATTGTGGGAAAGCTGGACACAAATATGAAGATTGTCGTGCTCCAAGGAAACACAAGAAGAAGGGTCAAGCAAACATATAAACCCAAAAGGGCAAAAATATGACCGAAAACCGTTGATTGTGTTTTCATAGGATATGCGACTAATAGTAAAGCATATCGATTTCTGGTTCATAAATCAAAAAATCCCGACATTCATAATAATACGATTATAGAATCAGATAATGCTGAGTTCTTTGAAAATATATATCCATATAAAAAGGAATGTGAGTCGATTGGTGAAGGATCTAAACGACTTCGGGAAGAAACAAAAGAAAGTACACTTAATCAGGAGGATCCAAGACGTAGTAAACGTCAAAGAACGTCTACTTTATTTGGACCAGATTTTGTGACTTTCTTATTAGAAAATGAGCCTCAAACATTTAAAGAAGCTATGTCTTCTTCGGAATCATTGTTTTGGAAAGAGGCAGTCAATAGTGAAATAGAGTCCATACTGAACTACCATACATGGGAATTGGTTGATCTTCCTCCTGGAAATAAACTATTGGGTTCTAAATGGATCTTTAAGAGAAAAATGAAAGATGATGGCACTATTGACAAATTTAAGGCAAGACTTGTGGTCAAAGGGTATAGACAACGAGAAGGTCTTGACTATTTCGATACATAATCTCTAGTTACAAGAATTACGTCCATACGAACGTTAGTAGCATTAGCTGCAGTTTATGGTCTTGAAATTCATCAAATGGATGTTAAGACAGCCTTCTTAAATGGAGAGTTGGAGGAAGAAATTTACATTGAGCAACCTGAAGGGTTTGTGGTTTCAGGTAAAGAAAAAAAGATATGTAGACTTGTTAAGTCCCTTTACGGACTAAAACAAGCACCCAAACAGTGGCATGCGAAATTTGACCAAACAATGTTGTCAAATGGTTTTAAAATAAATGAATGTGATAAATGTGTGTACATTAAAAATGTTCCAAATCACATAGTCATTGTTTGCTTATATGTGGATGATATGCTGATAATGAGTAATGATATTGCCAACATAAATGCGACTAAGCGCATGCTAACTGGCAAGTTTGATATGAAAGACTTGGGAGTTGCTGATTTAATTCTGGAAATTAAGATCCATAAGACTTCTCAAGGTCTGGCATTGTCACAATCTCATTATATTAAAACAGTACTTGAAAAATTCAAGCACTTGGGCTTTAAAGTTGCAAAGACTCCAATTGACGTGAATCTTGCATTAGCAAAGAACAAAGGCCAAAGCATATCACAATTGGATTATGCTCGTGTGTTGGGTTGCTTAATGTACATCATGAAATGTACACGACCAGATATAGCTTGTGCTATAAGTAAATTGAGTCGATATACAAGAAATCCAGGTCAATCTCATTGGATGGCCATGAAACGAGTTTTAGAGTATTTAGTACATACCCAGGACTCTGCTTTGCACTACAGTAAATATCCTGCGGTCATTGAGGGATACTGTGATGCAAATTGAATCACCGGTTCAGCTGATTGAAGTCGACAAGTGGATATTTATTCGCTATTGGTGGAGGAGCGGTATCTTGGAAGTCGTCCAAACAAACTTGTATTGCCCGCTCTACAATGGAGGCTGAGTAATCATCAAGGGGAATGGGACTGTGGCCGAGAACAAGTCATAGTGGCGGTAACTCTACCTAGAAGACTGGAGATCCCAAGATCTAGGTTCAAGGAGATCAAACAAAGTCATTAATGACGGTTCAACTTGTCCATTCTCGTGATGAGACAATGTTTAGTACCAAGAATAAAGCATTAAGAATTGCCAGTTCTCTACGCACTTATGAAACCATGCGGTGTTCGTGGCTGAAACGAACACAACAATGAGAACCAAAGACGGTTAAGGGTTGTTTATGTGACTTATGGTTGTCTAGGTATACACTCGACGGTTCAAAGATATCAAATCTACCGATTGATCGAGTATATCCGACATAAGTTCACTACGGAAAGTTCAAAGGGAAACCTACTTATCCAAATGCAATTAATCCTTGCTTGCGAATCACACAGTTTTTCATGCATGTTTCCATTATATAACCATTCCCCATTCATGTGGGGAATTATTGGGGTTTTGGCTTCGAATTCGGATTTGGTCAAATGATCGATTGATTGATTAATTTTTTGGACCAAGTTTATTTGTTAATAGTAAAATATTAACAGAAATGTTATTAAATATTTATTTTAATTACAGAATATTAATATTAAAATAAATATTAATATTAAATCCAATCCATTTTTCTGTTTTGGTAACAGAAACTTAACTACCCTCTTCAATTTTCTCTCTTTATTTTCCCTCTTTATTGTACCTCTTCAGATTTCAGCCCAACTTTGGCTATAAATACCTTGTGTTTACATTTCTTTAGTTTATTTTAATAGGTAATGACCTAATAACCAACTTTTTATCAATCCTATTGCATTTAATAATGTAGATGTAGCTATTGACCTAAAAATCATGTACATTACCCCTTAATGAGAAGCTTTTATAACCACACAATCTCTCTACAATGGATAGTTCTTTGATTCAATGTGTGGTCAAAATCTTTTGTTTGACAATTAGTTAAGAAAGTTTGTTAGGTCTCATTTGGAGATAATATTAGGGAAAATCCAAAACGAAAATGAAATACGAGCAAATTGATTAATATTCACCTAGTATTTCCATAAATATCTGAATTTTCAAGATTTGAAAAGGTTTCTTTGAACCGAAAGTGTTCGCAATAGTGACAGTTGATTAAATTAACGGTATTAGAATTAATTTAATATATAAATTTAATTGTTCGTAACTCTAAAGATATAAAATTGTCAAAAGTATAAATTTTGGCGATAAAGAGTGAGAATCACCAAAGATTGATGTGATGGAATAATTGAGATTCTTCCACTTTAACTAGTGGCTTCGGATTCTTGAATAGAAAAATTTCTGATAAGGAACCCTTGCTTCTTTAAAGATTCTACCTGACCCGAATCC